CAAAGGACACGAAACATAGGTAAATTATAAACCATTACTTGTGTGCGAAAAAATATCAGCATTTTCATTCTTCCGAATCGATGAAAATATCTTACAGGCGAAATCCAAAATACACAAAAAGGCGAACTTCTGGCTTTTTATGCTGATTTCGTTGACAATATAGCCAAATATCGTAGACAAGCAAATCATATAGATGAGTCTAAATTTGGAGATACAGAGGGCCTCTTGCTTTTGGATGAGATCGCAAAATATTTAGGGGTTCAAATGAAACAGAAAATTTTTCCAATCCACACGAAATTTTGCATAGGAAGGGAGTTAAGGACAGAGAACAAGTCTACCATTTTGGATGACCTTTGGATTATATTTAGCTGTAACTAACAGCACTAACAGCCCCTGGTCAATAAGCTAAAGGTAATATCTGAGCAGTGATCTATGACATAATTCCAAAAGCGAAATCTTCCAAAATGGATTTGGACATAAGGCGGCTTCTAACATATTGTAGTATTGTAGGGTATTAAATGGTCGGCCCTGCACGACTATAGCCTTTGCATACTTGTTTTTTTTTTTTAATTTTCAATAGACAAATTAAATGATATTTTTTTAATTTGCCCGAATTTGTTTTTAAAATATTTGCATACAAGGAATTTTTGCATACTACAAGGAAACTGGTAGAATTTACATTTGTCCATCGAAGAACTAAAATTGTCATTATTTCTACAATTCCTGTCGCCAAAAATAAATAGATATTATTTGGGCACTAAAAATTCTTACTTTAGGATATTTTTTATTTAGACATTCTGCAATTTTTGGCGCCCAATGGGAGGCATGCTATTGCCCTCCAAAATATCAGTTCTTGGGTACTAAATCGATCGATTTCAGTACATGGTATTAGATTCTCATCATAAATGTTTTTTGATGAAACATACGAAATAGTAAATGTTTACGGATATTCCTTTTCACATACAGAAAAAAACATTTTTATTCATATCAAGCCGGACATCAAACTATGCAATAAATTAGCAGCTTTATTATATTTGTTTCGCACTATTGACCAACAAAGATTTGAATTAATTTAATAGAAGGCATAATTTTTTCGTAATATCCATCAAAATATTACCTAATTTACACGGTATGAACAATAGCATTTTGACGTCATATTTTAACATAAATACATATGTAGGTCATACGATCGAAACTAGGTGAGACAAATTTCATACGTACATGAATAATAATTTACACAATATATCCAGCAGATGTGTGGGAGTCATATGGGCTGAAAATTGAAATATAATGAAAATATAATATAAATATAAATAATATAAAAGGCACCACTATAAATAAATTCCTTTTTCACAAAAAATGCAAAATATCAGGAGTTATTTTTTCCTCATGACCAAGTAATAAGTAAAATCGGCACATATTGTGATTTTAAGACTCAGCATCACTAAACGGAAAGAAACATATAAGAAGAGTTGTTTTTGTAGAAGTATAACTTTAAAAACCCCTTAATGTAGTAACGGAGGCACATTATTTGGCGTATTTTATCAAATCAAAACAGTTAATCGCGGGGTAATAAAAGAGGGAAGTTCCACCCATTTTTCCTTTTTTTAAAACAACCGACTGAAAATTCTTTGAAATCTTTACTATTAGGTATATAGTGTTTTCGGCAATATGACTTGCAAAAATTCGGAGAATATTCTTTCAAAAAAATTAACCCTCAATCGAGTAAATAAAGAGTTAGTTTCTTAAAACCGTTCAAAAATACCATTAAAATTTGATCATATCAGATCAAAATACTCCACAAAATTATTCGTCAAAAAATGTATTACAGCTAACAGAATATGCCAAAACCCAAAATCTTACTAGAGATTTCATAAAAATTTATCTATTCGGAAAACATCATTTTAGGGAGCTAACGTCAAAGGCAAATATATTCAGCTTAAAATTTCACTATGAGTCGCCAAAGGCGTAACATCTTTATTTACTTTAGATATTAAAAACATTTCTACATAGATTTCCAAAAAAAAAAACGCCCACACAGAATTATCCCTCATTTTGGATAAAATGTTTGTTTGTTAAAAATTGATGCCGAAAACTGAAAGGAAACTTAGTTTTGGATGAATAGTGTCAACGGATGACATATTTTTGAAATGAACCATACAGGGTGAGATGAAAAAACTGCAACCATCTTCAGACTACTGCCATGTCTCAGTCACTCGTCCGACAGCTGTTAAAATTATTCCAGTAACAGCTCATTATATTGTTTACAAGCTTACAAAATCATTTTGGTGCAAATTTTCCGAAAAAAAGATTATTCATCATAGAATTCAAGCGTGACAGTGTGATTTCTTTATATTTGGCTGGAAAACCACAAGTGGCTATCCTTAGAGCACTCCAGCATTTAAATGTGAATAAATCTTTTGTGTCTCGTACCATCGCTCGTTACCGTGATACTGGTAGCGTAGCCCGACGTCAAAGAAGTGGACGGAGGAAAACAGCAACATCAGCAGATATGGTTCGAAAAGTAAAGAAGCGACTTTATCCTGTGGCAGTGGCCGAAAAATGGCTCGTGAGCTGAACATATCGAAACATTCCATTCGACTATATCCGACATTTTTGCTTTCATACAATAAAATTAAAAAAAAAAAAAACAGCAAAGAATGTCTTAAAGTCGGCGGGGCCGACTTTATGATACCCTATACCACTTTGCTAATTTAGTAGAGCTCCACATAACAATTAAAAGTTTTTATGGAAGAATTCAATCATATATATAATTATAATTTAAAGTTCAAAAGACTAAATATGCCGAAGCATTTGTATCTTTTAAATTCGGACTTGTATTGCCCATTTGATATATATGGAAGCTATATCCAAATCAGAACCGATCTTGATAAAATTTGGTAAAGATATTTCTGAGCTGTATTTCATATATTTGCCTGAATATCGTTGTTACGGAGTGCATATTACGGCTGTGGATAACAAATATAACAAATCGGATGAACAATATATATTGGAGCTATAGCTATATCTGAACCGATCTTCAACAAATTTGGCATACTAGCTTCTAGGCTCAATTCGGTCGTATGTGCCAAATTACATTCCATTTGGGCGAATATTAGACGTTTGGTGCACAATAAAATTTAAATCGGACGAAGTTATATGTGGGAGATATATCCAAATCCGAACCGATCTCGATAAAATTTAGCAAAAGGAATTTCTTAGCTGTATTTGATATATTTCCTCAAATCTCGTTTTCACAGAGTGCATATTACGGCTGCGGAGGACTAAAATAATAAATCGGATGAACAATATATATTGGAGCTATAGCTATATCTGAACCGATATAGGCCTATATATAGTTCTAATTTGGTTGTATGTGTAAAATTCCATACTATTCGGGCTAATATTACACGTGTGGTGCACAATAAAAGGCAATTCGGACGAAGATACATATGGGAGCTATATCTAAATTTTTACCGATTATCTCCGATTTCAATAGGGTTCGTCCTTGGGCCAAACAAATGATTTGTACAAAATTTCATCTGGATGGGGTAATAAATGCGAACTGTACTTTATTCACAAAAATACATGGACAGACGGACGGACATGCATAAATCGACTCAGAATGGGTCTATCTCGTTTCTCCCCTTTTGCCCGTTACAAACAAATGCACAAAGACATAATACCCTGACCACCTTGTGGTGTAGGGTATAAAAATGTAAAAATTATGGCGTTTCACTTTGTTGCAGTTTGTTTATCTCACCCTGCACTTACCGAATTTAGAAGGAAACGATATGCCCAACGGTCCTTGTGCGATCACAAAGTGTAAGAAACATCGTTTCTTGGTTCGCTGGTAATGAGAGATTTATTTATTTATAATATTGATCTTTTATGGGGTAGGTGTCAAAGGAAGTTGGCCATATTCGGAATTTTGACACTCTGAAAAATAAATATTGGAACGAGTGACCGATTCCGTCCATTTTTACCTTACATAAGGCTGATATTCCCGTAACATTTTGACCGTAAAAATTATATATGGTCATTGCAGCCGTAAGGCTTAGGGTATAAAAAGTAAATTTTTACGGGGTATCATATTCTACCTAATTTCCAATTATTAATCAAGTAAGGCTTAAGGTATAAAAAGTAAATTTTTACGGGGTATCATAAACTACCTAATTTTATATTATTAATCAAGTATTTCTGCCTATTATTCGCCAATGTGCAATTCTGGATTATGGAAAATAACAAATGTCAATTTCCATGCTATATATGACAGTATTCCTTCCTCTTTCTAGTTGGTAGCTACTAGCGCCCTTTTGTTTTTTTACATTGTATATAAGTTCTTTGAATATTTTAGTGTCAACGATCGTTTAAGGAATAAAAGTTATTTTCGACTTTTTAAATCAGGAAATTATTTTATTTGAGGCACATTTTGTGGTTTTGGCCAAGCACTAAATAGAAAGAAAAAAAAAAACTTCTTATTACTTTTTTGTTGATTTGGACCACAATTTTCCATGTGATTCATAGTTTTAATTTGAAAATCACTAAAACAAAGGCAATGGAAAAATCCCCCCATAATAAGGACAGATTTGTAATTTTGAATTAATTTTCTTTGGCATGTCCAATTTGATCTGGTGGGCATCTGGTTCATCTCTGCTTGGGGGAAAATACATTATTTGTGGGATTTCTTAAAAATTCTGGTTGAACATTAAATTCAACATCCCGAACATCATCACTGTTATGTAGTTCGGTTTGTTTATTTGGTCAACAAGAGCAGCTGCTGCTGACGTCTCTGCAGTTGTTATTCGTAGTAACCGCAAACCAAACTCTCATTTCGTTGGGAAAAGATGACAGCCGCGTAGCCGAATGATGCCGGCAATTATTTTAGTTGTTGATGCTAACGATACCGACTTGTTATCTGTTGCGCTGCGTTTTTCCTCTGCCACACTGGAGAGCAGTGATCATCTTGCCATCAGACGAACACAGTTCGCAAGTTGATCAGTTATCTCAAGTAACAGTCGCGTTATTGACTCGCAAAAGACAAGATCACACAAAAAGAAGACCGCGGATAAATTAATGAAAATTGTGATAGAATAATACTCTACATACATATATGGCGATAGATATTAAATAAAACAAATAATTTATTTTTATTGAAAAAAAAATAATTTTAGTGTTTTATACGAAATTCAAAACGAAGAATAAGAAAGTAATTTAAAACGAAACCATGCGTTCGGATCAACCTGCTCAGCGTAACAACAGTTCGGGTTCCGAAGTGTCCTTGGATATACCGCCGAATGCCATTTACAATACATCACGTGATTGCATAGTTCAAGACGACGATAATGCCGATAAACGTAGTGCCTGCACCATGACCACCGAATGGATGAAACAAACATCGGCGAACATTTTTCGCAAGAAAACCCTTTACAAACGTTTGCCCGTTTTAACCTGGCTACCGAAATATAATCGTGAGGATTTTGTTGGTGATCTTATGGCGGGTATTACCGTCGGCCTGACAGTTATACCACAGGGTTTGGCCTATGCTGGAATAGCTGGTCTGGATTTACAGGTGAGTGAAAAAATTAAAAAAACCAAAAATATTGGAACGAGATGAGGAAAAAACTGAAGGAGAGAAGATTTAGGACATAGGAAATTATATAGGAATAAATGTCATGATCATGTGATGGTATATCATGGTATATTGGTAAAGCAATTTTTAGAAAATTGACTTGTGGAGCAAAAAAATTAGGATATTAAATAAATTATAAAAAACATGGTAAATTTTTTATTGAGTTAATTCACATTTAAGAATAACTTTAGCTATTGTAGAGGTATTATAAAAGTTATGCAAAAGAGAATAAAAATAATTGCGAAAAAAAACAATTCCCCACCAACATTAGATCTAATGTGAGGATAAAGTGTAAAAAATAAAAATATATTTAGGTTTCACATCAAAAGCGGTAAAAGTTTTCGATTATTTTGAAATTATCCAAGTCGCAATATTTTCAGGACTTAGCCTATCTACTAAAATGGGTCATATCCCTGGAACTTTCCATAAAGGGCTAATATTTTTAAACATAACATCCATACCAAGCGCACATAAAATTTGGGGTTAAGGGTGAAGGAAAGCATTTGAATATTCGATGTGGTGTGTCCGCATAATGCAGTATTTGCAATGGGCTTGAGTCAGGCGCGAAAGGGATCATCTCCTTCTGGTATAAGTTTAATTGGGCCAAAAATTATGTAACACCTCGAAATATATCTCGCCGAGCTGACTCGATCTAGCTATGTATGTCCGTCCGTCCGTCTGTCGATGTTAATTTGTAATCACTCTACAGGTCGCAATTATGGCCCGATTTTCAGGAAATTTAGAATGGAGGTGGAGCTAGAGCCAGAATAGAAGCCTAGTGAAATTGACCATAACGTTTAATCCCGGCGAAATCACAAATAGACGAAAAGATCAATTCCGACTGTTAAGTAGCTGCCGATAGTAAATATATCGGATGTATATAGCGAAATATATACAATGTGCATATATACAAAAGAAGGGGATGTTGGCTAGAAACCTTATATCTCAAGAATGGCTGGGCCGATTTTGACTAATTTTGTCAATTCAGAGTGCCCTCTTGGCATAAAAGAATAAAATCGAAACAAATCGCATAAAAAAATGACAATAATGATGTAAATATAGATTTTGTATTATTTTCTGATATTTTTTTTTATTTTTTTTTTTCATATTTATTATAGCATTCGATTTTTTAATTTTTTATCAATGATATTGAAGTGTATATTTTGTAATATTTTTTCACCTTACAACACAGGTTGGGGATATTATATACAGATTTCAATTATCGTCCTATCCTCACGTGTTTTCAGAGATGACCGTAATATATTTAGGAGTTGAAATGGACCAACAACTAAAATGTTCCTGATTTTGGAGCCGTTATAAAGGTCATAAATAGAAATGAAAGGACACGAAATCTCGCATGAAGTTTGAGTTTAGGGCAGCGGGTAGAATGGACCACTACTTTTGTGTGAAAAAAAAAATACCAGCATTACTTACAGGCGATATCCGAAATACACAAAACGCGAACTTCTGGCTCTTTAATGCCGATATTGTTGACGAATATAGCAAAATATCGTAGACAAGCAGACCATACAGATGAGTCTAAGTTTGGAGATACGAAGGGACCTCTTGCTTTTGGAGATGATCGCAAAATATTTAGCGGTTCAAATGAACCAAAAATAGAAAAAAAATCCTGATCTGACAATTGAAGTCAATCGACGCCTGAGAAGAGAGTTAAGGACAAGAAAGCATTCTACCATTTTGGATGACCATTGGATTATATTTAGCTTTAAACTGGCGCGACAGAGTGCGCAAATATCCCTGGTCAAAATGCTAAGGGTAATATATAGGCAGAGCTCCTTAACATAATTTCAAAAGCGAAACCTTCTGAATTGTAGTGTGGTAGGGTATCACATAGTCGGCCCCTATAGCTTTTGCTAACTGGCTTTGAAATTAAAATAGAAGATTTTTAGGAATTTTGAGATGTGACATTTTCAATAGATTTAACTTTTGTTCTGCGTTCGGTTCGCAATTGTGGTCAATCCTTTTAAAATATCTAAATTATAGTGGTATCCTTATATAAAGGCTATATCGAAACATATCCTGTAAGAGTTAAGTTCCCATTAAGAGTAAAAAATATAAATTGCGGGCAATTTCATTTAATTTCGTCAAACCAACCGAATAACCACAATTTGCTTTGGCAAATTTATTTCATACTTTTATGGCACCTATCAGAAAATACGGAAAAAGCAAGTCCATCCTCGAACTTGAATTAATTTCAGAAAAAGACGCATGTGCACTTTTCATTTTAGTTCGATCGAAAGATTGCTTGATATCAATAGACGGACGGACATAGAGAATCCGAATGCAGTACATTTGTATTGCAATTTCGATTGTAAGATCGACAAATTAAGTGGATAACGTTTTGGTCGCAATCAAAAACATCAGACTGAATGTCATATCTGAAAGTTGCAGAAAATATGCGAAGTTTATTTCAGATTTTGTACTTCTCTAGAAAGTTTTGTTTATTCTTACTTTTTTAAATCCTCAAAGATGTATGCCATAGGAGCCAGAACACATCCAAGCAAAAATGACCTACTTTGCCAGCATAATTTGTAATTTACTATGTAGAAATCTAACGTGGAACCCTGGCTTTCGATTACCGTACCTTGTAACTTGATGCTTAATTTTTCCGATCATTTTTACGGATATTTAGGATTTTAAATATCCGATGAACTGAAGTCTCACATTTTTTCAGAAGGTTTTGAATTTAAATTCGCTTCAATTTAGCTTGGGTACAACCATGGCAAAATGACATACTTTAGCATCATAATTTGTAATTTATTATGTAGGAATCAAACGTGGAACCCTGGCTTTCCAATACCGTACCTTGTTACTTGATGATTTAAACATAATTTAAATTTTCCAATAATTTTTATGGATATTTAGTTTTTTTAATATCAATATCAATGATTAGATTAATTTTTTGCTAAGCTTTTCGTTTTCAGATGGCTTTAAATTAAATTTCGCTTCAATTTAGATTAGGTTTTTAATGCTAAAAAAGACTTGTCAAAATATGTGTACGAACGTTGCTAATTGTTATCTTTATTAGTTTAAAAAATATATTTTTTTCGGTCATAAAAATATACCTTCCCTTATGTATCTGACATAAAACAATTTATCTTAAAATCAAGAACAACATACATAATTTGTTTTTGATAATATCTTGTTTTTCATCAAAATTAAATTGTAACAATAACAAATAAACAAAGGCTATAGTCGTGCGAGCCGACCATGTGATACCTTACTACATTACTATTTGTTGGAAGCCCCCTTATGTCCGAATCCATTTTGGAAGGATTCGTTTTTAAAATAATGTCATAGAGCCCTGCTCAGATTTTACCCTTAGGTTTTTGACTAGGAGAATTTGGCCAATATTTACGCACTCCGTCATGTTTTTAGGTTCAAACAATTCAAAACAATTTCACAGAAAATTTTGGTAGATTTTACAGTTAAATATAACTCAATGGTCATCCGAAATGCTGAACTTCTTTTCTGTCTTTAACTCTATTCTCATGCAAAATTCCGTGTCGATTGGTTTTCAATTGTGACCTGTGGAGCGACTGTAAAATCGGGAAAATTTATTTTTTTTTTGGTCCATTTTAACCCCTAAATATTCATCTTCAAAAACAATAGGCTTTAATTCTGACCCTAACCCTACCACCATGCAGAATTTCGTGAGGATCGGACGATAACTGCAACCTTTATATAACATCCTCAACACATAGCGTTGCGGGGTGTAGAAAAACTTTAGAATACCTTCAATTCAAATTGCATGTGATAAAAAATATGACCAGAAATGAAAAAAATGTAACAAAAAATATATAATTTTTATTGTCATATTTTTACGGGATTTTCATAGATTTTATCCATTTCTGGCAAGAGACCATTCTGAATTGATGAGAATTGTGAAAATCGGCGGTTTTTGTCATATAAGTAAAATAACTGAAATCTATTTCTTTCACATATATATTGTACCTATTTTGGCTATCAGCATCACTGCCATAGTCAAATGTATTTGTGATTTCGTCGGAAATTTTCGTATTTTTTGACATACAAGTTATGGTTTATTTTACCCGCACATCGTGTTGTAGAATATAAAAACAATTGAGTTACACAAATTAATTTTGATGACAAAAGTAAAGCAGAAAATTAATTTAATAATTGAGAAAATAACCTGAATGTTTACGGAACAATAGATATGACTCAGATAAATGAGATTTCCTGGTCGGAAATGAGTCTAAAGCTTTCGAAACATTTACTTCAATTCCAATGGTACCATTATATAGAAGTCCTTTATTGAAAACATTTGAAAAAAGAGATTCTTCATTCTGAAAACACTTAATGTCATTTTTACCAAGTTATCGAGGACTTTATCTTGAGTTCAACAAAAGGGATTATAATTTTGTGCTGATCAAGAATATTCACATTGGGGTATCAAGGGAATATTTGAATGTGTGTATAAAACCGGAAAACAAGTGTGATTTTAATTTATTCAAAAAAGCTTTAGTCTAAAATTTGAAGAATGCTGAATATTTCATTTTATATTTCAAAAATACAACATAAGCTAGCATAGCTAGTCTGTTCTAGAACTGCAATAACGTTAAAGTTTTAACTACAATTACCCATTTTCCCTCTATGATATCGAAAAAAATTGCAAAACTAGTAGATTCTTGCAGGTTCTGGAACAGAGCAGTGGGTAGTTTCATCTTAAGGCGTTCAAAATAATTTTAGAACAACTGGAGCTATGTAGTTTTTGCCAAAATTATCTAAAAAGACGTATAATTTTTCGAAAACGATTGTTTGCCATGGAAAGTCCTAAGGAAGTAAAACGCTTATATCGCATATTTGGTTGTGTGGGGTATCACTTAGGTTTAGGGTAGGACATATCCGATCATCTTACAACCCAAAACAATAACAGTAATAAAATGCCACATAAGTTCTCATAAAGTTAATTCATTTTTCCATTATTTTTTCAGTATGGTTTATATGGCTGTTTTATGGGTTGTTTCATTTACATTCTGTTGGGTTCAAGGTAAAGGGTTTTATTTTCACCATTCTCATTAAAAATTAAATTACACTCTTTTACTTTACAGCAAAGATGTTCCGGTTGGTCCAACCGCCATTTCGGCTCTCTTAACCTTTCAAACCGCTCATGGGGTATGGCAAAAAGCTGTGCTACTTACATTCCTAACGGGCCTCATAGAAATTGCAATGGGCATATTTCGCCTCGGTTTCCTTATCGACTTTGTATCGGGCCCAGTCAGTGCTGGATTTACAAGTGCCGGTTCTTTGATTATTTTCACATCACAACTCAAGGATCTTTTGGGTGTCAATACGAAAGGTGACACCTTTGTCGACATGTGGATATCGGTGTTCAGTGATTTACATAACATTAGTTGGAATGATGCGGGATTGGGTGTGGCCTGTATTATTGTCCTGTTGACAATGCGTGCAATGGCCAGTACGAGTTTTGGTCCCAAGGAAAGCAGTGAAAAGTCATTTTGTCAGAAATTTTGGTCCGGCCTATTTTGGGTAGTCGGTACATCGAGAAATGCTGTCCTTATTATTGTCACCTCAGCCATTGGTTATTACCTCTTAAGTTCCGGTATTGATATATTCCGTATGGTTGGTTATGTACCACAAGGTTTGCCCAAATTCAGTGTGCCACCATTTTCAATGACCACCTTAACAAATGGTACAAGTGGTGAACCCATTGAAATACATGAGAGTTTTGGCCAGATGGTTAGCAGTTTGGGTTCAGGATTGATTGTGGTGCCATTGATTTCTTTGCTCGAAAATATGGCTGTTGTGCAGGCTTTCGGTAAGTTGAAAACAAATATTTTACGCTATTGGAACTAATTTTCTGTATCATATTAATTCCAGCTAATGGCAAACCTTGTGATGCCACCCAGGAACTCATTGCCGTCGGTGTTTGCAATGTGGCCAATTCATTTGCCCAAGGTTTCCGTGGTAATGGTGGCATTGCCCGTGGTGCTGTCTTGAATTCCAGTGGCGTCCGCACTCAAATGTCGAACATTTATACCGGTCTCATTGTCATTGTGGCCTTGTTGTATTTGACACCCGCTTTCTATTATATTCCCAAAGCTGCTTTGGCCGCTGTCATTATGGCTGCTGTTATTTTCATGATCCAATATCGTGTTGTCAAACCCATGTGGAGAAGCAAAAGTAAGTTTTTTTTTACAATTTGATATTCAGTTTTTTAATATTCTATAACGCGGACCGTTTTTAAAACTTTTTGTTTCTGATAACAGGTTTGGTTGCATAAAAATCCTAGTAGAGTAGAGTTTTATTTAAATTAATAAGAGAATGTGTTTACCTTTAGATATTTTGTTCTCTCATCGCAGAAAACCAAATTCGGTAGTTCACCACTTTCGGCCAAGCGAAGCAACTCTTTAGCCCTTTTGAGTCTATTTTCTTTCTGCTGCGGTGTAAGTTCTTGAACTTTTTGGAATTTCAGTGGCTTTACCCCGAGCTCATTTTTCAACATTTGCCGAATGGAATATTGCGATATGTTCAGCTCACGAGCCATTTTTCGGCCACTCCGACTCGGGTTTCCATCAAGTCGCTTCTTTACTTTTCGAACCATTTCTTCCGTCCACTTCCTTGACGTCAGGCTACGTTACCAGTATCACGGTAACGAGCGATGGTACGAGACACAAAAGATTTATTCACATTTAAATGCTGGACTGCTCTAGCGATAGTCTCTTGTGGTCTCCAGCCAAATATAAAAAATAACTATTTTTCTGGAAAATTCTCACCAATAATAATAATAATAATAATTTTACAGCTGTCGGAAGAATGGTTTAGAAATGACAGCAGTCTGAAGTTGGTTGCAGTTTTTTCATTTCACCCTGTAGTTTGGGCAATTTTTTAAAAGATTTAATGTAAGCTTTAAAGAAGATTATAAATCTTACTGCAAAAAGTTTTCAATAGGGGTACACTATTTAGTATTACGATCATTGACTTATTTTCCAACAAAATTAAAAAATAAAAAAAGTTTAAGAATTGGCAATCCGTTGTCTTATTTTGAGCAAATAAGCTGTAAACATTTTTAGAATTACAACAGATGAATTAATTTTGTTTTTCCAATTCCAGAATCCGATTTAATTCCCGGTTTGGCTACATTCGTCGCATGTTTGGTTTTGCCTTTGCAATTGGGTATTCTTGTTGGCATTGGCATCAATATTGTATTCATTCTGTATCATGCTGCTCGTCCCAAATTGCGTGTGGAAACTTTATGCGTAAGTATTACAACAAAATGGTTAAATACCTAGAACTTCTATTAAATGTTACTCTACATTACAGACTTCCAACGACATTAAATACCTAATGCTAACACCCGATCGCTGTTTGATATTCCCCTCTGTGGAATTTGTACGCAATGTTATTACCAAACAGGGGCGTAAATCCACTTTACCCGTGGTCATTGATTGTACCCACATATATGGTGCTGATTTTACTGCAGCGAAAGTTGTCTCATCAATGATTGATGATTTTGAAAATCGCCAACAAAAATTATACTTTTTCAATCTGCAGCAACGAGTTGCTCAAGTTTTCGAGGGCATTAATAACAATCTGCAGGTTATTTACGATATGAACACATTGGAAATGAGATTGTCCGGAAAAGAGGAAGAAAATACATCGAAACTGTGAAATTAATGGCAAAATGATAATTGTAAGACAGGTATATTTTCATAAAAATTGTACTTAATTACGAAGAACATTCTTTCGCTATTTTAAATGCTGGTATCTTTAAGGAATCGTATCGATAGTTATAATATATAATACCAATATAAATATTGCAGATACCAGGTAGTGGAATGTGAAAATCTAAATAGAATTTAACAACCTCTTGTGGAAAATCTTAGTGGATTTTTTGTTATTTGATAAAATGCTAAAGATTTAATCTCATTAGTTGAACTTTTTAACAGTGCCAACAATTATTATAGTTATCTTTTATTGTTTACTTGTATTGTACAAAACCATTAATTTAGTATTTATTTCGTTAAGTAAATCATATCTCTTCCTAATAAGTTTAATTTTGCATATCAAAATAATTTGTTGTGCACACTCGTGAATGTAACGCATTCCTTAAGTACTTAGATACGTGTATTAGTAGAATAAGTACATACTTACCTAGTTTTGTATGTGATACTAAAATAATTAAATAATTATATGTAATTAGTTTTTGTATAGTGTTGAATGATTTGCTTTGTATCTTTTTTTTTTTGACAACAATAACCCCGTAACGTATTTTATTGTAGTAAAATGAGTATTATTATTTTATTATTGTTGTTGTATAGTTTTATATACATTCCCAAAATGCATCACTATTGATATTTTTGTATTTAATTAAATTTAGGTAGAAATAAAAGTAGAAAACATGATTTTGTGTTGTGTTATTATTTTTGTATGTAGATTTTTATTGTAGTAGTTTATATTGACCTGTTATTTCTCAAAATCTGAATTGGCTCCAACTCCTGACATATTGTCTAGACATATTTTTTACAAAGGTCAGTAAACCACAGTTAAAATAGTTTAAGGATGTTTTCGATCGGTAATAAATGGGGTTGGATTCCGAGAATTTTATTCCTACTGCATTGGTGGTCTGCATTCCGATCTGTCTGATAGGTTTTTTTAACTAGAGACCCACTTTTTAAATCTTTGGTCCTCTTCCTCTATACACCCTTGGCAGAAACAACGAAAGTATTTCATAATGGTGATATACAGGAATAAGCTTCATCTCCTCGTGTTGGTGGTCCACTGATGATATAAGTTTTAGTTTTTGGAGTGGTATTCTGATAAATCTAAAAAATGTTTTTTTTTTTTGTGTAAAAATATGTTGTATCAGTCACAGATCCATTACGTTAAAAGAGGTCAACAAGTTATCCTTGTCTTCATTTCAAGCTCTGTCGGGTAGCGACTTGATAACTTTGTGCTTTTTATTATATTCTCCACCATAGTTTGGAGTGTACATAAAGTTTATCATTTCGTTTGTAACACCTCGAAATATACATTTTAGACCCACAAAGTATATATATTTTTGATAAACATACAATTCTATGTCGATTTAGAGATGTCCATCCGTATATCCGTATGTGGAAATCACTCTAGCTCCCGAACGAATTGAAGTAGGTTGATAAATTTTGACTCAAATATATTTTATGTCTGCAAGACTTTTGGTATTGAAAATGGGTCATGTAGATCCACGCTTTCGTATAGCCCCCATATAGCGGTACCTCCCGATTTTCGGTATTTTGATGATTTTAGAGACTTATTTACCGGAATTGCTTCAAATTTGGTATTTGAAGAAAAGTTTCTGTGCAGGTTCACGTCTTCGTATATAATGGTATATAATGGTACTTCCCTATATTCGGTATTTTAATGATTTTAACAGACTTTTTAAAGGATTTTATTTTTCTTATTTGCCACATTTGTGGCGGTACCTCCCTATAGTCGATATTTTGATGATTTTAGCGACATTATTTACCGGAATCGTTTCAAATTTCGTATTTGGAGATATTAATAGGTACTACAACCTATGGTTAAAAAATTTGTATCCACGTCTTCGTATAGCCCCCATATAACGGTACCTCCCGATAGTCGGTATTTTCTTGATTATAGCAACATTATTCACCGGAATTGCAACAAATTTCGTATTTAAAGTTCGCAATGGATACTACAGTCTATGATAGAAAATTTCGTAAGCAGGTCCACGTCTTCGTATAGTCCCCATATAACGGTTTTAAATTAAGTGGTAGTTTTCGGAACTTTTTTTTGAAAATGTTCAAGTTCCTTCCAAGTGATGGGCGAACATAGCTGCTTTTTTACTCGTTCGTATTTCGTATTTAGAATTACAATATTCAAAATACGAACGAGTAAAAAAGCAGCAGTCACATCATGATTGATATTAAAGTAAAAATAGAAGTATAATCAGGAGTTGGAATTCCTAAACGGACGACGACCTAGACATTGAAGCTGACGAAGACAACGAAAAGGAGGGCCCACTAGAGACTGCGTTGTTGCAGGGTAATCCAGAACAATTACTGCATTTTATCCACTTTCTGTAGTCCAAAAAGAATTTTAAAGAAGAAAAATAATCAATCTGGATTGTGAGATTGGATATAATATTTTTTTTTTTTTTTGATTATGGGTTTATTATTTTCTTTTGAATGAAATCATTTAACATTAATGTTATTTATTTAAATAAATATTTCACAATGTACATAACTGTTAAGCGTTTCACTGAGAGCTTCTTGATTTAACTAATAATTTACTAATACTATAGCATACTTTTAGGCACACATGTTGAGTTTTTACCCATATACCTTTACAGTTCGGTGACTTCATGAACGCTAACACCATTCGCAAACGTTCCATTCGATTGATCGTCCAACAGTTTTTCAATACAATTCAACGAGTAACACATTATAAATGGTGATTTCAACGTTTTAAACACCTTCAGAAGGCGAGGGCGTAAATTAAAAAATATCAATTTTTGATTTCTCGAATTAAAGTCTTGAATTATTAATTCAATTGCCTTGGCGGTGGTGAAATCGGCAGCATAGATGAAAGTGCAATCGAATACCACGGGAATTGTGTATTTTTGACCCGATTTTACAATTTTGTTGCGTACAAATTCCACGGAGGGAAATATTAAACAACGATCGGGGGTGATTTTCAAAAACTGTTTGCCCGAAGATGTCTGCTATGGAAAAGTAAATAATTATTAAGGTATGTAAATGTTGAGATCATGAAAGGGTAGTACCTTAACCAAATCCACATTTATTTCAGGTCTGGCCGATTGGTATAAAATATACAAAATATTGATGGTGATTGCAACAAACACACCAACACTCAAGGGACCCACCAAACATGCCGCAAAAGCCAGTAGACCAATGAAAAGATCAGATTCTAGAAGACATTATATAATCCATTGAATTACATGCAATTCGGAATATAATTGGTAAGTACTTACTTTTACTACGCCACATTGGTTTTATAGTTTGATATTGCAATTGAAACAGTACAGCTGCTATGATTATGGCTGCTAATGTTGCCTTTGGTATATAATAGAAATATTCGGCCAAGTATAGTAAGGCTAGTATAACGATAACGCTGACATAGACATTTACAAATTGGGTTCTTCCACCACTGGCTGTATTTACCGAACCCCGGGCCAAGCCTCCATTGATACGATAGCCCCTTACAAACGAATTGGTTATGTTTGCCAATCCTAAACTAATTAATTCTTGATTTGTATCCACAGGTTTTCCATTGGCTAAATACAGAAAAATAATAATTATATAAATGAATAAAACATAAATAAATTATTGTTTAAATAGATAAATACATACATATATAAAAATTCACGTATAAATAAATAAATGGTATCGTTTTGCTAACTTACCAAATGTCCGACAAACGGCAATTGTTTCCAATAACGATATCAATGGTATAACCACTAAACCACTTCCGAATTCCTGTAACAACATCCAAAAGCTTTGCGTATTTTCCTCCAGTTCAGTTTCACTAACATAACTACCGTTGCCATTCACAATTGACAAAGCGGGAAATTCTACTGGTGGAAATCCTGATGGAATATAACCAGTCAATTGGACATAACTTTTTCCCATATGTTCCAAATAACCCACAATGGTGGCGGTAACAAATACCAAGAGAGCATTACGCGATACACCCAAAAACCAAAATATAGTATTGCCAATTTTTTGTATTCTCGAGAGATCGTCATTTTCTTTTGCCTTCAGTTTGATATTTCCAATATATCTCAATATTACCAGCACTATGATGCTTCCAATACCCAATATGGTATCACTGGTACGAAAGTTATGTATATCCTTAATGATAGATATCCAATTTTGTAGAAATGAATTTCCATTGGCTTTAACCACCAAAATATTCTTGATTTGTGATGTGAATATTATGAGAGCCACGGCACTGGTAAATCCCGCATTTACTGGACCCGAAACAAAATCAATAATAAAGCCCATGCGAGTCAAGCCCATGATAAGTTCTATAAGTCCTGAGAGTAGGGTAAACAGTATCGATTTTTGCCAATTACCGTGGCATACTTGTAGTGTCAGCAACGATGCTATGGCTGTTGATCCAACAATGTTGTCTTTGCATGATCCAAAAATCGTATAGATGATGTTGCCCATAAAGGAACTGTAAAGAGCAAACTAAATTTTGTATAATAAATTTTGATATGATTTGAAGAGGAAGAATTGTAAAAAAGGGTATCATATCCACATATTAAAAATTGTAACATATGTTGTCATAGTCTAGGGTGAACTGTAACTGAAAAATACCAACTGTCATTAAGAAAAAAGACCTTGAATTAAAAGTTAAATTCCATTATTGTAAATTTTCACGAACTTCTTTCAACCTATTAGGACTAATCGAAATTGAAAATAAATACATTTTTTATAATCGACAACAATTCGACTTTATTCACCACACAAGTAAAACACATTTATTTATATGTAAGATGTCCAAATACATCGGGCGTACGAAATTTCCAAGTTGAACAATTTCAACATTGACAAGTGAAAAATTCCATCAAAGACCTAAAATGGTAAAGACTGGACAAAATGCATTTTAAGCAAATGGTTTGTGTCTACAATACATAGATTAACAGTTCATGGCAAGGACATGTTAATATAAAAACCACAATTACAGAAACGGATAACAAATAAAAATTTGAAAAATCCAAAATTTTAGTCTCAAAAATTCATTCTATGGGACTGTCCAAAAATTTGCATATTACGTTAGCGGTTTAAATCAGTTAACATTGGTAACTATGTTGTTATGATATCGTAACAACAGAGGCATTTTCCCAGGGTTACCATATCTTGACACTGTCTTGTCCTATCATTCCATTGGTTTGCGTGTTGAAAATAGAAACAAATAATAAATTGAAGTGAACGTGAAGTTTGAAAATAATCAATTTTTACAAACTTTATTAGTGGATAGATTTATAGATATGGACCTGCCATATTTGGGTAAGGCGTACTTATAAAACATTTTACCATAGTGGGGAAGTTGAATATTTGTATACGCAACGTCGAATTTTAGGTAACGTTGTAATATATTTATAAAATGATTAGCATCATTGAATGGATGATATATTAAGTTTGTCATTAATTTGACCCTAAATAACCTTTCTTTGAAAGTTATTAGAAAATTATTTATTGATATTTTATATTATTTATAGCTGGTCATTTGCTTGTATTTTTTCGGGTTTCCTGTCTATATCCTTTTGACATGAGAAGAAAACGTCTATTAATGGGGAATGGAAAAGCGCTTTTTGACACATTGATAATATGATTGAAAATGCGCAATGTGTAATTTGTCATCGCATTAAGGTGAGAATACATAAGGCGCAAAGACCTAAAATGGTAAAGACTAGACAAAATGCATTTTGAGCAAATGGTTTGTGTCTACAATACATAGAGTAACAGCTCATGGAAGAGACATGTTAATATAAAAACCACTATTACAGAAACGGATATCAAATAAAAATTTGAAAAATCCAAAATTTTGGTTTCAAAATTATATTCCATGGACCTTTCCGAAAATTTGCACATTGTTTTGGCGGTTTAAATCAGTTAACATTTGTAATTATGTTGTTATGATATCGTAACAACAGAGGTATTTTCACAGGGTTACCATATCTTGACTCTGTCTTGTCCTATCTTTACACTTCTATGTCTTTGTTAGGCGCTTATTTGGCTGGCTTAAGTCATCGGCAGGCTTCTTCGTAGAGGAACAGAGCAAGGACCTAAAATGGTAAAGACTAGACAAAATGCATTCTGAGCAAATGGTTTGTGGCTATACTACCTTGAATAACAGTTCATGACAAAGGCATGTTAATATAAAAAACACAATTATATATAAGAATGACAAATAAAAGTTTGGATAATCCAAAATATTAGTTTCAAAATTCTATTCCATATACCTTCCCAAATAATTGCATACTGCCTTAGCGCTTTAAATTGCTTAACATTGGTAACTATGTTGTTACGATATCATAACAACAGAGGTATTTTTCACAGGGTTGCCATATTTTACTCTGTCTTGTCCTATCTTTTGAACAGAGGAGTTTTAGGTTGACCTAGTTCGATTTTGCCCCTGGGCTCCTTTGTTCATTTCCGAAAAAGCCAGCCAAATAAGCGCTTTATATATTCCCATTTTTACTTTGAATAATTGCAAGAAAAATTTTCCAAAAATTCCAGGAAAATCCCTGTCGATTATGGAAGTAGGGTAAATTTGAAAAGTAATCTGAGTAGGGGAACTTTCCTCTTCCATTTTTTTTAATTCGTGGATTAATATTCATTGGAATCTGTTGATTTTATGTATATTGTGTCTTCGGAATATTTTGGTAGGAAATTTTAACTATTTAGCGAGTCACCAAAAGGATATTTTCGATTTTTTTTCAAAATCTGGCTAAAAACGGGATCGTGGTGATTCAAAATATTCCACTATATTATTAAACCCTCAGCCATATGGATAGAGAGGGTATATATCATTTGACACGGTCAAAACGTGCCTAGTCGAAATAACAGTTCTAGATCCTTGGTCTGTTTGGACCAAATCCATCTGAAGTCGATTTAGCGATGTCCGTCCGTCTGGCTGGCTGGTGTTCACGATAATTCTCGAAGGGAGTATCCAATTTGGTCCAAACTTGGTACATCGTAATATTTTTGTCAAATTTAGATCGAGTTCGGAGATGGGTAATATCGGTACCTCCCCCACAAAAGATCGAAATTTAAAAAAAAAAAAAAAATATTCTCTGCACAGAAAGAGAAAGGATAATCCGATTTTGCTCCAACTTTGCAAATACTAATATTTATGTCAGTTCTAGGTCAGATGCGAAAATGGACAATATCGGTCCACTCTATCAAGTACCTCCCCCACAAAGGGTCAACATTTTGAATAATTACAACCCTTATAAAATGTGATGTAAGAGTCCGATTGTCTTTAAATTTCACACATCATAATTACAACTCTTATAAAATGTGATGTAAGAGTCAGAATTATAATATTTTTATAGACATTATAATATTTTATTAACCCAAGGTCTGGTGTTAAGATGGAATATATCGGCCTAATCCATCTGGTACCTCCCTCACAAAAGGTCGAAATTTTCAAAATATATATTTTCTGCACAAAGAGAAAAATGATAACCCGATTTTGCTCAAACTTTGCAAATGCTAATATTTGCGACAGTGCTAGTTCAGGTGCCAAAATGGACAATATCGGTCAACTCCATCAAGTACCTCCCCCACAAATGGTCAAAATTTTGAATGATTACAACCCTTATAAAATATGATATAAGAGTTCGTTTGTCTTCAAATTTCACACATCCCAATAATTTTATAAACTCAAGATATGTTGCTAAGGTGGATAATATGGGTCCATTCCTTCTTGCACCTCCGCCACAAAAGGTCTAAATTTTGAATATCCAGTAAGCTCATAAAACGCGAAATTCACATCCAATTCCATTTATACTTGCCACTTCTGAATATTCCTATCAACACAGAATCTGTCATAAAAGCGAAAGAGATCGGACTATTCCTTCTGGTACCTTCCCCACAATGGGCCATAAAACGCGAAATAAGCATCTGGTGCTCTTCATATTTCACACATCCCATTATTTCTATAAACACGAGATCTTTTGTGAAGATGGGACATATCCGTCAACTCCTTCTGGTACTTCCCCCACAAAGGGTCATAATTTTGAATGTCCACGAAGATCGCGAACTTAACATCCAATTCCATTCAGACTTGGCTCATCTCAATATTTCCATCAACACAAAATCTGAACATGGTGGATATCGGACCATTCCTTCTGGTAACTCAGCCACAAAGGGCAAAAGTTGTTAATAACCAAAACGGTTATAAAATCCGAGGGTCCATAAAGGGTCAGCAATTTGAAAATCATAGTAGAAGTTTTTTTTTTATTTTTTAACCCAAAGCGGTGTTATTCTTTATAAAATATTTTAAAAATTATAATTAATTACTATATTATTTCCTGCGTTTCGCTTATAAAATATCGCTGGAAATTTCTTAACTTTTATTCTTCAAAACGTTCTTTATACCAATACACTTTTAAAACACTGACTTGACAGTTTATTAAGAGATCCTCTTTTACACCAATGCATGCATATCTTCCATATTATTTTCATATTTCACCATCACTTATTATTGAAATACCAATCTCTGCTCAATAGTTTTGCAATATAAACATAAAACAAGTTTTGTTTTTGTTTATTTATTCGCCACATTGTTGGGTATTTAAATCACTTAACACATAACACGCTTTTTGTTTGAATATATCAATTCAATGTGTGTATGTTAAAGACCCTTTTAGGGGAAATACACAAATTACTGCGTCCGATTTTGTTTTGGCTTCACTGAAAATTTACATAAATTCGTGAAGAAAGCGTGCTAATCCACTAATCCATCAACGATTCTTGGTTTGTTTGTTTGATTTACCTCTGTTGGTAGACCCGCAATGCCGGCAAAAGCCAGTGCCAAAGGTATGGCAGCAAGCGAAACTGTTATACCGGCTATTAAGTCACCGATAAAGTCTGCTTTGTTATAAACCGGTAGCCACTGAAATATCGGCATGTGACGTTTCAAATTCTTTCCGCTAAAAACTTTGTCTAGAAACATGCGACACTCTTTAGAATTGGTTAAAAGTTCTCGCTGTGATTCATTGTGGGGGGAATTGGAGAAATCCGCCAGAGATTGTCTGCTGTGATGCACGGTTTGATGATCGGTCATCATAACATTGTTGAAATCGATGGCATTATCTAGATGTCCGGTATTCATGATTTGCTGTTTTAGTTTGTTTTTTTTATTGCTAATAAATATTTAATGACAAAAAAATTGCAAAATAAATTTAAAAATTTAACGCTACGGTGGCCAGTCTTTTTCTCCGGCACATATCAACCCGACGAAATTCAAACTAAGACTGAGAATACAATAAAGCTGGATAGTCTTTTTTAAGTTTTGGATATTCAAAGAGAAATTATTGGATGTTAACCGGTTGTATTGTCAAGTTGTTTCTGTTATTGCTGTGGAATATTTCTATGAACGTGCAAATGGGTGAATATTTTTTTGTTTTATTTTGACGCCAAATCGTTATATTTCATCCCAATGCATTATGGGTGATAGTTATTTAATATTGCTTCAAATAAATTTGATTATCTCTTAATATAGGTGCGAATTTTTCGACAGAAATTATTAAAGCGCCTACACAGTGGGAGAAATTTTACGGAAGTATGTTATGCTACGATACCTGAAATGAAGATTCTGAATTATTTTGTTCCACATATATATATTAATGCTATATATTCAGCGATTCTTCGCACATAGACATTTTTATAACCTCAGCCATATGACTAAAGAGAGTATATGTTATTTGATACGGCCAAAATGTGCCTAGTCGAAATAACGGCTTTAGACCCTAGGTAACTTTGGATCAAATCTGTTTTAGGACATTTGGAGTCGTTTTAGCAATATCCGTCCGTGCGTCCGTCTGTCTGGGTGGTGCGCACGATAAGTCTCGAAGGAAGTATCCGATTTAGTCCAAACTTAGTGCATCGTAATATTTTTGTCAAACTTAGATCGAGTTCGGAGATGGGCAAAATCGGTCCACTCCTTCTGGAACCTCCCCCACAAAATTTCAACATTTTCATAGAAAATAATTTACCGCATAGGAAGAGAACGGATAATCTTACTTTGTTCAAATTTGCAATTCGTAATATTTGCATTACCACAAGATCGGGTGCGAGAATGGACAAGATCGAACTACTCCTTCTAGTACACCCCCCCACAAAGGGTCCAAATTTGGAATATCTAAAACGCTCATAAAATGTGAAATATACTGCAGATTCAAATTTCACACATACCAATATTTTTACCATTACAAAATTTGGTGTAAAGATGGAGTATGGCATACCACTTCTTCTGGTACCTCCCCCGTAAAGGTTCAAAATTTTGATTATCCATAAATCTCATAAAACGCGAAATTACAATATTTCTACCCAAAGAAGATCTGATACGAAGATGTGATATATCGGACCCATTTTTGAATACCTTTCCCACAAAGGATCAAAATTTGGAATATCTAAAACGTTCGTTAAATGCGAAACATAAATCAGATTATCTTTTAATTTCACACATACCAATATTTTAACCATTACAAAATAGGGTGTGAAAATGGGATAAACCGGCACACACCTCCTGGTACCTTTTCAACAAAGGTCGGCCCACTCCTTCTAATACCTCCCCCACAGCGGGTCAACATTTTGAACAATAATAACTATTATAAAATGTGAAATCAGAGTCCTACTTTTCTTCAAATTTCGTACTTCCCAATATTTCTACAAAAACACGAGATCTGCAGTAAAGATATATCGATTCACTCCTTGTGGTACCTCCCCCAAAGGGTCCACGTTTAATTAAAGCCGCCATATAACTGTACCTCCCTATATTCGGTATTTTGATGACTTTTATATTTTGATTTTTCATTGTTCACCGAAATCGTTTCAAATCTCGTAATAATTGTTCGTAATTGGTACTACAGTCTGTGACGGAAAAGTGGCTATGCAGGTCCAGGTCTTTGCATAGCCCCTATCTGACGGTATCTCCCTATATTCGGTATTTTTATGATTTTAGTTCGATATGGCCTATGACAGAAAATTGCATATTCATGCCCATGTCTTCGTGTATATAACGGTACCTTACTATATTCGGTATTTTTATGATTTCAGTGATTTGCACTTCGAAATGTGTACTGCAACCTATGACAGAAAATTGCCCATGCGTCTTCGTATGGACCACAAACGGTAACGGTAACTATATTCGATATTTTTAAGATTTGGTTATAACGGATTCTATTTATTTGATGCCAGATATCTGAGAGAGCTCAGAAATACCTTTGCCAAATTATATCGAGATCGGTTGAGATTTGGACGTAGATATAGCTGCCAACATATCTCTTACTCTTTTGATGTGCACCAAAAGTATAATATCAGCTCATATGGGATAGCTTTTTTGTTATCAAATCGAGAGCCATAAATGCCTCTGTCAAATTTAGTTCAAATTGATTAAGATTGGGATATACCATATATTAATTCCTTTTGGAAAATAGTGGTGTAGTGTCCCGTACGACTTTTGAACTTTCTTTATTGGTTTTATTAATTTTGTTTATTATTATCGAATTGAAAACTATGTAAAACAAGTAAGCAAGAGGCTATAATCGTGCGGGGCCGATCATGTGATACCCTACAACACTACAATATGTTAGAAGCCCCTGTATGTCCAAATCCATTTTGGAAGATTTCGCTTTTGAAATTATATCACGGAGCACTGCCCAGATATTACCCTTAGTAACGCACTCCGTCGTGCTGTTAGTTGTTTTGGTCCATTTTACAGCTAAATATAATCCAATGATAATCCAAAATGCAAGAATTCTTTTCTGTCCTTAACTCTCTTCTCAGGCGTGTCGATTGGCTTCAATTGTGTGATCAGAATTTTTTTCTGTTTTTGGTTCATTTGAACCCCTAAATATTTTTCGATCATCTCCAAAAGCAAAAGGTCCCTCTGTATCTCCAAATTTAGACTCAGACTTGTCTACGATATTTGGCTATGTTCGTCAACGAAATCAGCATAAAAAGCCAGAAATTCGCCTTTTTGTGTATTTTGGATATCACCTGTAAGTTATTTTCAGCGTTTCATTAGAATATAAATGTTGGTATTTTTTCACAAAAAAGTAGTGGTCCATTCAATCGGCTGTCCTAAACTCTAACTTCATGCGAGATTTCGTGTCCTTTCGGACGATAATTGCAATTTGTATATAATAACCTCAACCTGTGTTAAAAAGTGAAAAAATATTACAAAATGTACACTTCATATAAGTCAAACTGGAAAAATCGCATGCGACAAAAAATATGAAAAAATAAAAAAAATTCACAAAATACTACAAAATCTACATTAACATCATTATTGGCATACTTTTATGCGATTTTTTAGATTTTATACTTTTATGCCAAAAGGGCATTCTGAATTGACAAAATTTGTCAAAATAGGTCCAGTCATTCTTAAGATATAAGCATTCTAGCTAACATCCCCTTCCTTTGTACATACACCTTGTATATATTTCGCTATATATATCCGATGTATTTACTATCGGCATGTACGTAACGGTCAGAATTGACCTGTTCGTCTATTTGTGATTTCGCTGGAATTAAAAATATTCGCGGTTTAATGAAAATTTTGACTTTTAAATAAATCAAATTTTATGGACTATTTTACCCACTTAATATTACCGGATGACCATTAAATTTGGAAATCTTCCGCGTCCATTGGTCTATAATTGCGACCTGTAGAGCAACTGCAAAATCAGCAAATTTTTCAGTTTTTGGTCCATTTCAGCCCCTAAATGTCATGCGATAATCTCAAAAAGCAACATGCTTCTATTCTGGCCCTACCCCCACCTCCATTCTAAATTTCATGAAGATCGGACTATAATTGCGACCTGTAGAGTGATTACAAATTGACATGGGCAAACGGACAGGTGGACGGACATACATGGCTAGATCGACCCAGCTCGGCGAGATAGGAAGATCCATTTATACTTTACTATGTGGGAAACCAATATTTCGAGGTGTTACATAATTTTTGGGCCAATAAAACTTATAATACCCCCAACACATAGTGTTGTAGAGTATAAAAAGGATTTATATCCGCCGAAAATTCTTTCGAAACCTTCAAGATACTAAAATTGCATGTACCATTGTACGGGGGACTATGCGTAATAGCGATTAATTACATTGTGCAGCAGCCAGTCCTGGGGGTTGGGAAATTCTATATGGATAGTATCGTTTAGTAGAACAAAATCACATAAGGGTTTTGGATTCTCAGGCCAAACTTTTCTTAGGGTCTAACCTTACACAAAATGCCTCAAATATTTTGGTATAGCCCCATACATAAGTGTATACGCTGATATCAAGTTTTTTTTTATATTTTTTTGAACTAATTTTGGGTTTCGATGTAACTCTCATATGAACGTATCCCCAGATATTAGCTATTTCCGGGGTCTTGTCCGCATTTTTCAATTGATTTGGCCCTAATTTGGCATCATGGCTTCTAAGAGGGTAGAAAACAGACAATTTTAAAATGTAGGTCAATGTTTTGAAGCAGCGCCCATATAAAGGTCCCGCCTGATTTTACCTATTTCGAGGGTCATGACCACATTTTCTAATCGATTTGGCTAAAATTGTGTATTTAGGCTATTTTGTAAACATAAGTACATATTTTGCTACAGTCCCCATATAACAGTCCCTAGGTCCACCAATCATTAGTGATTTTAAAAAATTGGCAGACAAACAGAGGGACTTTGTTAAATCGTCACTGAATTTTGTTATGCTTAGCTCTTTACAATACTAAAATTTAAACTGAACTCTCACATTTGGTTATTATAAACAGTTGATATATACTTTTTAAAATATATGTATGTTATATTATTTTGTTTTCAAACTCTCAAATTAAAGTCTATGGCTAAAAATTTGATTGTTTTGGAGTTGCCTTCACCGACCTTCTCTTCACTCATCAAAATTAAATGGAGATGTAAGTATATCAATTAATATCATCATGTTTTTATTTCTACAACTACAGCTCTAATTTTATAACAGTAATGCTACATATAAATTAACAGAATTATAAAATAATATAACAATAATTTTGGTTCGTTCATTACTAATATTTAGTTTTATATTTGGTTAATGTTATCGTACTCGCTGTACTCTGGTCATCTCCATTGCCTACATTGAACGTTAGCGATGGTGGTGGTGCATCACCGTCTACCTTGGCCACCGATGGTGTTTCGGTTTTCTTTAATTCTTCCAGTAGACTATCGGCATTGTAGCACAAAACCAATTTACATTTGAGACCATCGAAAATCTGGGCCACACTTGGTTTTAAATTGAAGAAAATTAATTTCTGGCCACGACCCTTGAAATCTTCGACCATAGAAGCTATCACCTTGGCTGCTGTAAAATCGGCACCATAAATATATGTACAATCCAAGACCACAGGCAAATTGGTTTTATTTCCAGATTTCAATACCAAATTGCGTACAAATTCCACTGAGGGGAATATTAGACAACGATCAGGTGTTAATTTCAAGAATTTGTAACCTTCCATTGTCTGAAAGTAATATCGAATCGGGTTAATAACTTTCCAATACAGGGTATATTAAATCTTACTTCAATGGTTTCCAAGGAGACTTTGGGCCTGGCCGAGTGATACAAAATGAACAGCATGTTTACACCGATTGCTATTAAAATACCAATTTCCAGGGGCAATACCAAACATGTAATAAAGGCCACCACACCGGGTATTAAATCGGAACCTGCATTAAAATCAAATGTTATAAAATTGACCTAGATTTTAAAAATAAAATTTATTTCAAGATTACAGTACTGTGTTGTAGGTTATCGCATCTATCTTGATATAGTTAGCTACTGTTTTTTGCGCAGATAAGTTATGACAGTTATATCTTAGCTTATCATTTTCCTCCAACACATTTTGCCTGCACGGAAGTAATTATTTTATACTTTATTTTATAGCTCATACTTACGTTTACTACGCCACATGGGTTTTATAACATGATACTGCAATTGAAATATAACCGCCGATATAATAATGGCGCCCAATACCGTCAACGGAATGTAATAGAAATATTTCGTCAAATAGACCAAGGCAAACATGACCACAAGACCAATATATAAATTGCCCATTGGCGTCCTGACGCCACTGGCATTATTAACAGCTGAGCGGGCAAGTCCACCATTGCCACGATATCCTTGGAAAAACGAGTTTGCTACATTGGCAACACCGATAGCGAACAGCTCCTGGGTGGCATCGATGGGTTTGCCCTTGGCTGGAATATAAATACATTTGTTATAATTTCTGTATTTAATTGAAATCTTCAGAATTTAGGACACATTTATATTCAGGTTTTTTTCATAATTTCTATTTATTTTTATAACCTCCACCATTGTATGAAGGGTATAATAACTTTGTCATTCCGTTTGTAACACCTCGAAATATCCGTCTGTGGAAATCACTCTAGCTTCAGAACGAAATGAAGTAGATTGATAAATTTTTACTCAAATATATATAATGAAAATAGGATATTTAAGTCCACATTTTTGTATAGCTCCCATATAACGGTACCTCCCGATATTCGGTATTTTGATGATTTTTGCGACATTATTCACGGGAATTGTTTCAAATTTGGTATATGAAGTTCGTAATTGATACTGCAGCATATGAGAGGAGATTGTATGTGCAGGTCCACTTCTTCGTATGGCCCCTCTATAACGGTACCTCCCGATATTTAGTATTTTGATGATTTTAGCGACAATACTCATAGGAATTTTTTCGAGTTTGGTATTTGAAGTTCGTAATGAATACTGCAGCCTACGGCAGGTCAACATTTTGGTATACCCCATATAATAGTACCTCCCTATACTGATGATTTTAGCTACATTATTCACCGATTTTTTATTTCAAGTTTCGCATTTGAATTTTGTAATAGCTTATAACAAAAGTTGCCTATTCAGGTCCATGTCATCGTTTATACCTTAATATGACGGATACATTTGGCATTTTTAAGATTTTAAAAGAATTTTTAACGGATTTTATTTTTTTGAAAATTGCCAAATTCGTTCCGAATGGTGGAGGCTTTCAGATTTTTTACTTTTATGTGTAGCATAGTGTTATTTAATTGCATTTATTATATTACTTACCAAACGCCTTGCACACGGATATATTCTCCAACATGGCGATCATAGGAACAATTACCAAACCATAGCCCAAATTACTGATCATCTCAAAGAAACTCTCTCCAGCAACTGGTGGTATGCCCAATGTTTCATTTCCAGGCTTGGCCTCAATTGAAAATGGTGGCAACGCTGGTATGGGTAAACCTTCGGGTACATGTCCGGTCAAGCGGAAATAATGTTTACCCTGCGACTCCAAATACATGCTGATGCCAGCACATGTTATGACCAATGTAGCGTTACGCATCACACCCATAAACCAAAAGATGCGATTCATTAAACTATGATACCATTTGAGTTCACTCGTTTCCTTTGGTCCCAATTTTATGCGGCCCACTGATCGTAAGCAAATCAGTATGACGACACAGCTACAACCCAAAATGGCATCATTCACATGGATATTGTGAATATCGTTTATCATACTAATCCAACGCTGGAGAAATGAAGCACCTTCACTTTTAACTCCAAGTATATTCTTGACTTGAGACGTCGAGACAATGAGAGCTACTGCGCTTGTGAAGCCTGCACTCACTGGGCCCGATACAAAGTCCACCAAGAAACCCAAACGAAAAATGGCCATGCATATTTCCATAATACCAGTGATGAAGGCTAGCAGAACTGCTCTTTGCCACACACCTTTGGCCACTTGATATGTCAGCAGTGAGGCAATAGCTGTCGATCCGACTGTACTATCTTTGCATGTACCCAGAATAACGTAAACAAAACATCCCATGAATGAACCATAAAGACCATACTGAAAAAAAGAAAAAAATATTGGAATTTTTTAAAAAATATTTTGGAAAAAATCCATAAAACAAGTCCATAAACCAATTTTTTTACCTTCTACACTGGAATAATTATGTATATGGGCGAATGGTTATCTCAATAAAAATCCTCTTACCAAAAACACAAGATGGCTTAAAAATACAAAATTGATCGGATCTGGTAAATGGGACCCGATATGCCTATTTGCAATTAAAAATATCTACCTGGAGGCACGGATATAGGGAGGAATGTAAAAAATTTTGTTTTTTCTAAAACATATAATTAAATTTGGTGTAGAATATTTTCCATTTTGACTTTTTTGCGAAAACGAAGTTATATTTCACTTTTATGCATCAAATCGTAAAAGGCCAAAGAAAAGTGTTGGAGAATATGAAATATTTTTGCGTATTTTGTGCAACAACATTAAACATATTTTCTTAATCTAATACAGAAATGGAGATTTCTCTGGAAATTTATTTTGAAATTAAATGAAGTATATTATTTTCTTTGAGATCATCCTTCTAAAAATATATATTGCAGGAGAAGTTAACATAAACTTAAGTGAAGTACGAGTTTAACTCTAAATTGTTTTATAAATATTTATAACACAGTTGAAATTGGGCTTTACCTCACAGGGAGTATACCATAAAATGGGCCGCCATGACCCAGTTTTCAACCAATAACCCGCAAACTTTGCCTTGCATTATAATTTTTTCATGGATATACTTGTGATACCATAAGGTTATTTTGTAAAGTAAAATAATTATAGAATTCCAAGAAAATAGTCAGGGGTAGTCATATACTAACTAAGCACCCATATTTGCGTGCTGATATAGATTTTTAGACCCTCAGCCATTTTAGACCCTAGAGAGGGCATATATCATTTGATACGGCCAAAACGTGACTAGTCGAAATAACGGTTTCAGACCCTAGGTCTCTTTGGACCAAATCCGTTTCAGGATATTTGGAGTCGATCTAGCGTTGTCCGTCTGTCCGTCTGTCTGGCTTGTGCGCACGATAACTCTCGAAGGGAGTATCCGATTTGATCCAAACTTGGTACATCGTAATATTTTTTTCAAATTAGATCGAGTACGGAGATGGGCAATATCGGTTCACTCCTTCTGGTACCTTCCCCACAAAACATCGAAAATATCAAAAAATATATGTTCTGCACAGAAAGAGAAGCGGTAATCCGATTTTGCTCCAACTTTACAAATCCTAACGATTGCATCAGTTCTATGTCAGGTGCAAAAATGGATAATATCGGTACACTCCAGCAAGTTCCCTCAAAAAGAGTGAAAATTTTGAATAATTATAACTCTTATAAACTGTGATGTAAGAGTCAGATTGCCTTTAAAATTACACACATCACAATATTTTTATTAACACAAGATCGAGTTGTAAGATTGAATATATCGGTCCACTCCTTCTGGTACCTCCCCCAAAATACGACGAAATTTTGAATATCCATGAAGCTCATAAAACGCGAAATTAACATCCGATTCCATTTATACATGGCACATCAGAATATATTTTGAATAACTGTTATAAAGACGGTAGAGATCGGACCATTCCTTCCGGTACCTCCCCCACAAAGGGGGTACATCTGAGCAATTATAGCCTTTTTGGAAATATTATTGTTTCAGATTTGTTCTTGAACAAACTGACCACATTTCTAGTAGGTTAAAAATACTTTTTGAATATTATTTTTTATTTTAATCAAAATGTATTAATTTATCTGAAAGAGCATATGAAAAACTTTAGAAACAATCTGTAAAAGAAAAAAAAATCTCTAAAAGAAAAAAATATAAACCAAGAAACTGTGAGTTTGAGAATCACGGACATTCTGAAAAATTATTGCACGACGTGTACATTGCCCACTGTTCGACCACGGTTAATGAGAGCCATTAAAAACGACGAATGAATTAATTCGCAATGAATGTCCCCAACCAGATCGGGTAATCTCAAATTTTTAGACTTAAACTAATTCTCTCACAAAATTTTGAGGTTCTAAATATCACTCTCAATTCCCAATGATCGTAATGTGATACTGAATATACGACTATTCGATTCAATTACAAAATGTTTATGGTACATATAATGTATAATAATTTCTTTTGTTCAGATCCCTACATTGAAGTTTGATCTGGAATATCTCTTGTTTTTACACATTCACCAAAAAATTAAGAATTAATGAAGATTTTGACTATAACAGCAGGTTATAGTGACATTTTGTAAAAACTGATTTTGTCTTCAATGAGTTTTGTTGTTTGTAGGGAAACTCAAATTGTCAATCTACCGCCAATTGTTGAAACCAGTGGCTGAAACGCAACCAGCAGGCCATTCTGAAAAAATCCAAGAAAGTGTTAACAGAAATGATTTATATGTTTGTTCCTCTTCATGTTTTGTTACAAAATTTTACTAACATTTAACGCGAGCGTCATTTTTTAATTTTAATTAATAATTTTATAACAATCCACATAATTCCAATACATATGTTGCTTTTATATATCACGTGAAAATGTAGAAAAAATTAAAAAAATGACAAATGAGACTGACTTCCGCTTGTAATTACGGTTGTCAAATATTTGATATAAAATACAGCTGGGAAAGCAAGCATTGCCACCGAAATTTTGAGAATTTTCTTAGGTTTAATTAGTTTTCATATGTACTTTAAAAAATGTTCAAGTAATGTTATTGGCATTCGATTTACAGAAAACCAAGTGAGGATCTGTACATTTGCAGGTCCATGGAATTAATACATATCACTTGTATTTCAACAAATGCTAATTGAAGTATTTTTATAATTAAATATTTACGACTTAAAATTTTTCTTCGTGGGTAGATGTATATCTTGAAAATTGTGACTATATCAGTTACGTTGTTGTCTATGGCTATTAAACATTTTTAAGCGGCATTTGGCTCAATTCGAAGCATTATACTCGTTTGTCAAATTTATAGTATGATTAAGTACAAAATGGGCAAAATATTTTCATTTGATCAATGGATTATTCCAAATAAAACTGCAAAACATCGACAGCAACAAATAGGAATTTATTGACAACAAATAAGTCGATATGCAAGTAGTTAGCCTTCGTGTGAAATTTATCAGATATGTAATGAGTTTTCTTGGTCAAAGTGTGACACTTTTCAAAATATCCAGCTTCAATATCATTTTTTGTTATCTTTCTAATATATTTTTTTTTTTTTTGTAAAATTTCAAATTTAGTAATTCGAATTACAAGTGCATTCTTTTGAATGAATGGAATAATTCTAATTAAAACATGTAATCAAAGGCTATAGACTTGCGCGGCCGACCATGTAATACCCTACAACACTACAATATGTTGGAAGCCCCCTTATGTCCATTTTGGAAGATCTCGTTTTTGAAATGATGGAATTTGTCCAATATTTACGTCCTCTTTTGGTTGTTAAGTATTCATTGGTCCATTTCAGCTAAATATAATCCGAAGGTCATCCAAAATGCTACACTTCTCTCATATCCTTACCTTTTTTCTCATCCAAAATTCTGCGTGGATTGGTTTTCAATTGTGACCTGTAGAGCAACTGCAAAATCAGGAAAATTTTAATTTTTTGACCCATTGGAACCACTAAATGTACATCTTCAAACACAATAGGCTTTAATTCTGACCCTAGCCCTACCCACATGCAAAAATTCGTGAGGATCGGACGACAATTGCGACCTTTATATAATATATAATATAACACAATGTTTGGGGGTGTAGAAAAACTTTAGAAAACTTACAACTCAAAATTGTAAGTAGATTTGAAAAAATCGTATGCGATGAAAAATAAAAAATGTAACAAGAAATATACACTTTTTTATCATATTTTTTAACGCGATTTTCTTAGATTTTATAATTTTTTGCAAGAGACCATTCTGAATTGATGAGAATTGTAAATATCAGTCCAGCTGTTCTTGACATCATTGCAGTGGTCAGAAGCGACATTGTAATGTATATTTGATTCCGCCGAGATTAAAAATATTCGCGGCTTAGTGGAAATTTTCGTATTTTTTAACATAAATGTTATGGTTTATTTTACCAACTAAATATTGTCCGATGATGATGATTGTCCCTAAACTCTAACTCCATGCAAAATTCCGCGTCGATTGGTTTATAATTGTGGACTGTAGACCAACAGCAAAATCAAGTTTTTTTTAGTTTTTGGTCCATTTGCGATCATCTCCTAAAACAATAGGTTTCTATTCTGACCCTAAACCCCACCTTCTTTTACAATTTCGTGAGGTTGCTCATTTCGTCATGGTTATTCAGAATTTTGACCCGTTGTAAGGCTCTTTTCGCTCTTTTAGTTTTTCATATCAGATCTTGTGTTGGTGAAAATTTTGGAATTTGAGACATTTTAATACGATGGGACTCTTATAGCTCCCCATAAAATTTCACAATTGTTATTCACCCATCGTTGTAATTGGTGTAACTGCTTACTACTTGGACACTTATCAAAATTCAAAAATAATTTAAATCAAAATTGTTTATTTTCATCTGGCACGTTCTTGGAATAGTTATAACACTGAAGATATTGTTTATTTATTTTGTCTAGATTTACACAGGCAGCAATTTCATTTAAATTATTTTATCTAACAAGATCATGGGACCCATTCACGGCGTCAACACATTTGCGAGATGTATTCGCTACCAATCGCAATAATTTTACGTCACTTGAATATCTAACGTTGCAGAGACGATGATTTACTAACCTGTGTGGGTAGACCAGCTACACTGGAATAGGCTAAACCCTGGGGTATGACAGTTAGACCAACTGTTATACCCGCTATCAAATCACCAATTGCATCTGCCACCGTATATTTGGGTAACCATTGCAATATCGGCAGACGTTTATAAAGGATTTTCTTGCGAAAAATTTTTCTCATACACGATTTTTCCTCCTCTTCGGACTGTGTTAGCAGCTGTTCTTCACTGCGATACTGGGAGGTGCGATGATCCGTAATTAGAACAAAATCTGTGGAACCGCGAAATTGGACATCATTTGGTGTCATTGTTTCCGATTTTTTGTGAAATTCTGTTTGAGTCTCTAGCGAAGACATTTCGAGAATCTTAAGCGCGACTTAAAAGCTTTTTAAAATCTTAAATATTTATTTTATTTTTTATTTCTGATCACCATTTATCTCAAAAATACTTTCGATTACTTTCGCGTAATTGCACGTCCACACTTTGCAAACTCCGCGCGATATCTGTTTGAATCGAATCTGGTGTTTATGACTTTTGATGCAAACAAGATCAGATCTTTCGTTGACAGACACACTTCTGTCGCGTTCTGTTTACCAGGGCAGGCATGCGGTGGTAGCAGCTAGCAGCGATACTATTCGGGTGATAACTTAATTTCCGAACAGATCTTTTAAATGGGGTGTTGGTGCAAAAAAAAAATAAGTGAACTTATTTGACATGCTAACGTTTTTTGCGTATTTACTTAAGATAACTTTTTGTTAACATATGTTCATCGGTATGTACGTACAAATGAATGTGTGTAGATACCTTGCAAGATAGATATGTTATAATATCATATTTTGTATATTTATTTACTAATGAATCTATCTATCTAATGAATCTATAATCTGGCCCAGCGCCAATCCGTTGTTTGTTGGATTAATTATAGCCAGATTTGTCAGATTGTCGAATTTTTCGTCAACTGAAATCTTCAATTACCTTGTCAACACGAATGTGTTTATGTGAAGTGTTATAATTTTGTTTTTTCCACACATGTTGTCAGTACATGAGTACGTTGAGTAATGGTCAGTAGTTTTCCACGAGCTATGGAAAATTTTCATTGCTTTTCTCATGGGATTTTACATTTTCTTCCAAAATTTTCCACTCAGACCGGTTTGTTTTTTTACTGAATATACATTCCTGGCTATAAAGTTTGGAATATTCAGACCTGTGAAAACTTTTTTTTATAATCCGTCCGTCAAATCCATGGTAAGATTTGACACACCCGCACAATTTAGACTGATCCGAATATACATGGTAAATTTACAACAATTTTCCACAGATATATGAGAAGATTTGTGGACAGATCCAGAGATCTTCTATGATAAAACCTCAAGATCAATGAAAATCAAAGATTTTCAATGCGAAAATCTTTAAAGAGAAGGTCCACAGATTTCAATGAGAAGACCTGAAGATTTCTATGAGAAGATCTACAGATATTCTATGAGATGATCAACAGATCTCCCATTAGAAGATCTACAGATCTCCTATCAGAAGATCTACAGATCTCCTATGAGAAGATCTACAGATCTCCCATTAGAAGATCTACAGATCTCCTATCAGAAGATCTACAGATCTCCTATGAGAAGGTCTAGAGATCTTCTATGAGAAGATCTAGAGATCTTCTATGAGAAGATCCAGAGATCTTCTATGAGAAGATCCAGAGATCTTCTATGAGAAGATCCAGAGATCTTCTATGAGATGATCCAGAGATCTTCTATGAGAAGATCCAGAGATCTTCTATGAGAAGATCCAGAGATCTTCTATGAGAAGATCCAGAGATCTTCTATGAGAAGATCTAGAGATCTTTTATGAGAAGATCTAGAGATCTTCTAAGAGAAGATCTAGAGATCTTCTATGAGAAGATCTAGAGATCTTCTATGAGAAGATCTAGAGATCTTCTATGAGAAGATCTAGAGAACTTCTATGAGAAGATCTAGAGATCTTCTATGAGAAGATCTAGAGAACTTCTATGAGAAGATCTAGAGAACTTCTATGAGAAGATCTAGAGATCTTCTATGAGAAGATCTAGAGAACTTCTATGAGAAGATCTAGAGAACTTCTATGAGAAGATCTAGAGAACTTCTATAGATCTGCTTCTCTTCTATGAGAAGATCTGGAGATCTTCTATGAGATGATCTAGAGATCTTCTATGAGATGATCTAGAGATCTTCTATGAGATGATCTAGAGATCTTCTATGAGAAGATCTGGAGATCTTCTATGAGAAGATCTAGAGATCTTCTATGAGAAAATCTAAAGCTCTTTTATGAGAAGATCTAAAGCTCTTCTATGAAAAGATCAACAGATGTTCTATGAGAAGATCTACATTTTTCGACAAGGATATTTTCTGAGAAGATTTATAGATCTTCTATAAGAAAATCTAAGTTATTATACAGAACTTTTAGTAGATTTTCTTCAGGTTTGCTATGAAAAGATCTATCAATCATCTATTAATATACCTACATTTTTTCTATGAGAATGTCTTTAGAATATACATAGTTCTCCTACGAAAATATCCTCAAATCTAGGTAAGCTCTTTGAAATATATCTACCTAAAATGGTTGGTAGCTTTATATTGGACTACACTAAAAGATAAATCGATCGTAAAAATATCCATCAACATGGTAAGGAAATTGGAAAGAAAATAAGGGCGCCGTTAGTGTTCTGCTCCCATATTTTTTTAAACCAATGCATGGTTGGAATTTCACAATATTGCACAAAATCATAAAACCAATACATCTTAAAAAATAGATTCAAGTTGCCCCAAATCTATGACATTAATATAAATAAAATGTTCCACATAACAACTCTATTAAAGCGGTTTATTGACATAAATTATTTTACCATCTGAAGTTGTTTATTTTCTTTTTTTTTACTTTTCTGATAGGGACTTTGTACTCAGAGAGTGACAATGGCATTCGATATATCTATAAAATTTGTTTGTATGGATGTATATTTCATTGTCAAGGGAAAAATGTTACAGCTCATATATATAAACGGAAGGAATGGGGGATTGGAAGGACCATATTTGAATTTCCTTTATTGTTTAAAATTTCATGGTAGTCGAAATCTTTTGTTATGGAATTTTCCATTTCTTATAGGAAAATTCCACAGCTCTTAAGGAAATTTTTTGATAGAAGAAGCTTCCTCTCTCTTATCAAGAATCCCAAACATTTGATGACGACAAATGTTATTGTTATGGATTTGATTTTAATTTCTTTTGCTGATGCAAAGGAGATAACATAATTTAACACATCATAAAAAAATAGTTGGATGTATTATGTGTATATAATACTTATTTGCCAGATTAAAGATAACTTTTTTTTGAGTCATTCATTTATTTCATTTGAGATATCCAAATTATGATGTATTCTCATATCTCTGCATAAATTTCGTATTATGTTAAAAATCTGTTGGAAGCCACTTGTTGCTTGGTGCCAGAATATGGACATGTCCAGAAATGCATTTTCAAATCACTTTTGCTTGGTAAACATTTTTATGAAAAGTAACCGTTTAGGAGTGAAAAGAGTAAAACAAAAAAGTCTAACGTAAGCCCTTACGGCTATTTTCAGCTTAATTCTGGAGAATTCTTTATCAATTTTCAAAAATGCCAACGCGTGACTTTTTGAGAATCGTATTTTCAAGTTAGAAATACGATTCTCATTCCATAAAATCTGCATACATTTGATAGCTTGTTGGTTAGAAAAGTTTACTTATCTCACTCATAAATGAAAAGAAGTCAACCCATATTTTTCTTTTTATTATAAGTTTGGTTGGACCAAAAATTATGTAACACCTCGAAATATTAGTTTCCCACATAGGAAAGTATGTATGGATCTTCACATCTCGCCGAGCTGAGTCGATCTAGCTATGTATGTCCGTCTGTCCATGTTAATTTGTAATCACTCTACAGGTTGCAATTATGGCCCGATCTTCACAACATTTAGAATGGAGATGAGGCTGAAAAATTTCCTGATTTTGCAGTTGCTCTACAGGCAACAATTATAGACCATGCGACGCGGAAGTTAGCATGGGGCTAGAGCTTAGGGCTGGGCAGAAGTCTTCCAATTTTAATGGTCATCGGGTAATATTTAGTGGATGAAATAGACCGTAATATTTGTGGTAAATAAAAGGCAACATTTCCATTAAACCGCGAATATTTTTAATCCCGGCGAAATTACAAATAGACGAAGAGGTCAATTCTGACCGTTACGTAGATGACGATAGGAAATATATCGGATATATATAGCGAAATATATACAATAAAATATATACAATATAGCATGCTTAAATCTCAAGAATGGCTGGACCGATGTTGTCAATTCAGAATGCCCTCTTGCCATAAAAGAATACAATTTTTAAAAAATCGCATATTTTGTAGTATTTTGTGACATTTTTTATTTTTTTTTTCACATTTTTTTATTGCATGCGATTTGTTCAATTTCACTTATAATATTGAAGTGTACCATTTGTAATATTTGTTCACCTTACAACACAAGTTGGGGTTATTATATACAGATTGCAATTATCGTCCGATCCTCACGAAAGTTTTCACAAAGGTAGGGTTAGGCTCAGAAGGGCTAGGTCTGTTGTTTTCAGAGATGTCCGAAGTATATTTAGGGGTTGAAATCGACCTACAACTAAAAATGTTCCTGACTTTGCAGCCGTTATAAAGATCACAAATAGAAACCAAAGGACACGAAATCTCGCATGAAGTTAGAGTTAGAATGGACCACTACTTTTGTGTGAAAAAATACCAGCATTACTTACAGGCGATATCGGAAATACACAAAAGGCAAACTTCTGGCTTTTTTATGCTGATTTCGTTGACGAATATAGCTAATTATCGTAGACAAGCAAAGCATATAAATGAGTCTTAATTTGGAGATACAGAGGGGCCTCTTGCTTTTGGAGATGATCGCAAAATATTTAGGGGTTCAAATGAACCCAAAAATGAAAAAAATCCTGACCACACAATTGAAGCAAATCTACACTCCTGAGAAGAGGGTTAAGGACAGGAAAGAATTCTAGCATTTTGGATGACCTGTAAAATGGATCGCAACAACTAACAGCATGACGGAGGGCGTAAATATTGGGCAAATGTCCCTGGTCAAAATGTTAAGGGTAATATCTGTGCAGTGTTCCGTAACGTAATTTCAAAAGCCAAATTTTCCAAAATGGATTTGGACATAAGGGAGCTTCTAGCATATTGTGGTGTTATAGGGTATCACATGGTCGGTCTCGCACCTCTATAACCGTTGCTTACTTGTTTTTTTTTTTTTTAAGTTGGATACTACCTCGTTTTTTAACTTTTTTGAGAAGGAACCACAAACGTAGTAAAGAAGCGTTTCACATGTTATATCTGCCATATTTTTTCGACAACATCATGAAATCATTTAACAGATGTTCTGTCAAGGCAATATTGTTTAAATCGAAAAAAAGAAACGAATATTTCTAATTTTCATTTGTAAGCTCTGTATTAACTTGTTTGTCTCTTTCGAAGACGTTTGCACCTTGAATCTATTTACAAATCAAA